CCGTGGGTTCATCACCTGAACATGCAGTATGGTGATAGATTCGAACAGAGAGACCCCCCCACTGAAGATAAGATAGTCCAAATTAACATGGGTGACGAGGCCAACCCAAAGCCGATATTCATCAGCGATAGTCTTCCCCCAAATGAGAAGGAAGAATTAATTGCTCTCATTAGGGAATATATCGACGTCTTCGCGTGGAACTACGAGGATATACCAGGGCTCGACCCCAATGTGGCAATGCACCGCCTCGATATCAAGCCGAATGCCAAACCTGTCAAGCAACAGCATAGACGGTTTCGTCCGCAGATTATGGAAGCCATTGAGGCAGAGGTTAAGAAATTGATCGAATCAGGATTTATCCGAGAGGAGCAACATCCAGATTGGCTAGCCAATATCGTTCCAGTCATGAAGAAGAACGGTAAAATCAGGATTTGCATCGACTTATGGGACCTGAATACGGCATGTCCGAAAGACGACTTTCCTCTCCTAATCACGGATGTTATTATCGACAATACATGCGGGTTTGAGAGAATGTCTTTTATGGATGGTTTCTCAGGATATAACCAAATCAAGATGCACCCAGATGACGAGAAGCATACAGCATTCAGAACGCCCCTCGGTGTATTCTGCTACACGGTGATGCCATTCGGTCTAAAGAATGCAGGCGCCACGTATCAACGAGCGATGACTAAGATTTTCCAAGAACATCTCAGGAAAACAGTCGAGTGCTACGTTGATGATTTGGTTGTGAAAAGTCGCAACAAAGAAGATCACATCAAGGACTTGAAGACGATGTTCGATCTCATGCGAAGTCATCAATTGAAAATGAACCCTACTAAATCCTTCCTCGAAATGTCTAGCGGAAAATTCCTTGGATTCGTCGTCACCACTAAAGGTATACATATCGATCCTGACAAAGTGAAGGCGATACACGAACTACAACCTCCTAGAAATCTGAGAGAGCTCAGAGGATTGCAAGGGCGGCTAGCTTACATCCGGCGGTTCATCTCAAACCTTTCTGGGAAGTGCCAACCATTCTCTAAGCTAAACAAGAAAGGGGTGTCATTCATCTGGGACGACGCCTGCCAAAAAGCATTCGAAGATATCAAAACATATCTGACGAATCCCCCTGTTCTCGTTGCACCGAAATCGGGTAAACCGTTCTTGATTTAAATCAAGGCGATGAACCAGTCGATAAGTGCTTTACTAGCACAAGACGACGATAACGGTCACGAACAGGCAGTTTATTACCTAAGTCGGACCTTGATAGGCGCCGAGTCTCGATATCCGATGATCGAGAAAGAATGTCTCGCATTGGTATTCGTGATGCAAAAGATGCGGCATTACTTGGTTGGACAGACGATTTACGTCATTTCCAATGTTAATCCAGTACGGGTGTTTATGACGCAACCGGCCTCTATGAATTGGCGGTTAGCGAAATGGGCCCTTCTCTTGTCCCAATATGATTTGCACTTCAAGCAATAGAAGTCGATCAAAGGACAAGCGATTTGCGATCTTTTGGCGGCAAACCCGACCACAGGTACGGCAGAAGTATATGATGACTTGCCGGATGAAACCCACGAGGTTAGGCAAACCCGACCACAGGTACGGCAGAAGTATATGATGACTTGCCGGATGAAACCCACGAGGTTAACACGACGTCGCACCAAAAAGTATGGCAATTATATTTTGATGGTGCTTCGAGGGCAGTTAATAGGGTAATAACCCCGGGAGGTTCTACAGTTTCCTCCGGGGTTAGGGTTGTCTTAATCTCCCCGGGAAAGCATGTGATGCCTCGAGCTTATTCATTGACTAGTCCGTGCTCCAATAACGTAGCCGAATACAACGCGCTTCTTATTGGACTCAGTTTCGCTAAGGAACTGGGGGTCGAATATCTCGAAGCCTTTGGGGATTCTCAATTGATAGTCAACCAAGTCCGTGGAGAGTATGAAGTCAGGAACCAAGACCTGATCCCGTACCACCAGGAGGCAATCAAAATGGCAGAATCTTTTGAAGAATTTTTCATTAAATATATCCCCCGTCTCCAGAATGCTTATGCGGATGCACTGGCAGCACTAGCGGTATCACTTGCGCAGCCTCCCAAAACCGAGGTATTAGTCACAGTGAGGACGCATCAGCTTTGCAGACCCATATACGATATGGATATTGAAGAGGATGACGAAAACATTAACGCCAAGGAGGTGAATTCAACTCAAATTGGGTCTGAGTCCCGAGATTGGTGTTTTCCCATCATTGACTACGTCCAATATGGTATTTTGCCAGAGGATGTAAAAGAAAGGGAATCAATCCGCCGAAGAGCGCCAAGATTCTTCTATAATACCGAAACCCATATGTTATACTGTAGAGGGTACGATGGTTTGTTACTCCAATGCCTTTCGAACAGAGAAGCAGAAGAAGTTCTTAAGGAAGCGCACGAAGGAGAATGTGGTGCGCATCAACCCGGTCCCAAACTGTATGATCGCATCAGGAGAATGGGATATTTCTGGCCAACGATGGTTCGAGATGCAATCGAACACGCACGAGAATGCCACGCTTGTCAGATACATGCAAATTATATGCACCAACCACCGGAGCAGTTACACACGTCAACCACGTCCAACGCCTTCATCAGGTTTTGTGACAAATTCAAGATTGAAGATGTCTCGTCGACAGCTTATTATCCCGCCGCAAACGGACTAGCTGAGGCTTTCAACAACACGATCATTAAGATTTTCTCAAAGCTTGTGAAGACCAATAAACGAGACTGGGACGATAAACTCGGTGAAGCACTCTGGGCTTATCACACCATCATACGCACACCTACAGGAGCTACCCCATATTCGTTGGTATACGGATGTGAAGCTGTGCTACCATTGGAGATTCAAATCCCATCCCTTCGGATTGCTCTCGCAACTGAGATGACAACAGAAGAACAGCATCAAAAACGTCTCGAAGAACTCGAGAGGTTGGATGAAAAGCGCTTGGAAGCTCAACAACACATTGAGTTTTATCAAGCCAGAATATCTAGGGCTTTTAACAAAAGAGTCCGACAGAGAAGCTTCAAGGAAGAAGATCTGGTCCTCGCTGCTCGCCGACCAATAATCCTCAATTCCAAGAAGAAAGGTAAATTCAAACCCAAATGGGAAGGACCGTTTGTGATAGACACGGTCTACTCAAACGGTGCATATCGCCTGATTACTCAAGAATGTACCAGGCAATTAATGCTAATAAATGGGAAGTTCCTAAAAAAGTACTATCCCTAGTACGTTCAAGATAACCCATTTACCGGGAAGTTCCTTGAAGAATATTACACTTAATATTCTAAAGGATAACCCAAAATCTTTTTCACCACCAAAATCCCTCACTGATCAATTTCAATTGACAGTGGGTACATCAAAACCACTTTCAGTTCGGAGCCCCCTTTCGATAAACGAAAGAACTCCCTTCCTTTTCTCTTTGGTTAAGCCTTCTCATGGTTATAACCGAAGTTGGAATTCCACTTCGATAAACGAAGAACCTATTTCTCATCTTTAGATAACCAATCCTATAAAAGGTAGGTTTATATAGATTTTCCAGATTCTCGGAGTGGAGATCTCACTTCTAGTTTCTTTTACGCTGGAAATAGAATATAAAATTCTTCCTTTTCAGAATCAGGGAATAGAATATAAAATTCTTCCTTCCT